TAATAAATAAACTTTAAATATAAATAAATATTTGTAATACAATTTTTAATAATATTTATATATAATTTAATGTAAATATAATTTATTATATTTAAAATCTTCGAAAATATCTGGAGATTATATTAAAAAGTTATATATATAATCTCTAGAGATTTTCGAAAATTTTTTTGATTATTTCCGGAAATTATATATATAACTTTTACTCCGGAGACTTTTAACGATGCCGGAAGTCCTCCGGAGATTTATACCTAAAAATCTCTGGAGATCTTCACCTAAAAAATTTCCTGATGAGAATATTTAATCTATAAAGATTAACTATAAACAACATAAAATAAAAAAATATATAGAATTTTTAGAAACTTTAAAGAGTTTTTACAAAAAAAAAAAAAAAAAAGTTTAAAGAGAAAAGTATCAAATCAATTATTAATAATTAAGAAAAACTAGAAAAACTTAATAAATAGATCTTTAGACTAGTGAAATAGACTTTTAAAATTAGTCAAGATACTCTAAATTTTTGTATTAATCTTATAAGAAATGATCTTATTCCGTAAATCTAAAATGTTATGGAAAACATATATGAAGAGAAATAAAGAAATAAATAATAAGGATATAAAAAAGAGTTTACAATTAAATTTAAAAAAGAATCTGAAATAAGAAATATAAAAAAATAATTGAATGAAAATAAATATAAGAGATTTATAAAGTAAACAAAATAAAAAGATCTTTATACTCTCTAGATTAGAAAATTATACTTTCAAAGAGAAAAGAATTATTATTAAAAGAAAGAAACCTAGAAGATAAAAGTCTCAAAGAAATTCTAACAAAAAGAGTAAAGTATGAAATAAAGTAATTGAATTTTAAGTTTTGTTAAAATATTATAGAATAATCTGTAGTAATGACCTATTGATAATGAAGTTAACAATTGAAACTATTTTTATATAAATTACTAATGAAACAATAAATTACTTTTAAAATTATAATTAGAGTTTAGATAAATTTCAAAATAGAAATGAATAAGTTATATAGAGATTTAGCTTTAGTGATATATTTTATAATATAAAATACAGTATATAAATATTTAATAAAATATTTATATTTAACTTGATAGAAAATTTTAAAAATAAAATAAAATAAATACTTTTTATTGATTTTTTAATCATATACAAAAAAAATATTTTACAAGTAATCTATTTATTTATTTATCAATAAAATCTTAATAAACTTTTTATTAATAACTTGAAAGATATTTTCAAAAATTACTATTATTTTTTTTTTTTTATGTATAATTCTTTTATTTATAAATTTAACTTTTAAGGATTAAAAAAATCAAGTAATATATTTATTATTTATGACAAAAAAATTCTTGAAAAAAAATAAATTATATAGTATTTAAAATTTTTTTATCTTTAAAGTAAGTAGTTATAAAAAAATATTATAATAAAAAATTTATTTTTTTTTTAACTATTTAAAATCTCTTAAAGTTTTTATTTTCTTGTTTAATTAAAGATTTTTACTTATTTCAATTTGACTTTAAATTTTTAGATAAAATAATCTTTATTAAAGGTACTTAATTAATATAAAATATATTGATTTTAGAAATATAAATAAATTTATATTGATTATACTTATATGTTTTGATAATATCATTGGTAATTAAATAAAAGTTTTTAAAAAGTTTTTTTTTCAATTAAATAAATTTTTTAAAAAACAATTATAATATTGAAGGATAATTAATAATAATATACTATAAATTATTAATTTTTATATTTTATTAAGTTTTTAGATAATTAAAATTTTTATTAAATAAAGTTAAAGTTTTTAAACTTTTATTTTAATTAAATAAAAATCTTAAGGAGACTTTATTATTTCAGATAGATAAACTCTTAGTAATATCATACCAGTATTAGTGATTGTAATATATATTGATAAAAAAAAAAAAATTTATAAAAATTTTTTGAAACTATACTAATTAGAAATAGTCAAGTTCCTTAAATATGATAAAACTAGAGGATATCTCAATTAGGCAAATCTCTTTTGAAAAAAAGTATAAATGGATTAAAAACCTTTTGAAAAAATTTTGAGTTGTTTTTTTTTTTCTTCTTTCCAGTTTCTACTTTAGCAATTTATTATTTTTGAGACAATCCATAATAACAAATTGATAATAATGATTCTACAAGTTAGAGGTTAAGTATCAAATTACTAGGGAAGTGTAATATTGTTCCTTAAACTTTTCATATTTTTTAAGTAATGTAGTTCTTTAATTAGTAATGTATAATGACAAATTAGTCATCTATTAGTTATTAACAATCTATTAGTATAATTGTCTAATGCATAATCGATAAAGTAAAGCAGAAAAGAAATTTCATTGATGGACTCTATTAAAAAGGGAAGAAATTATAAGGTCTTGGATTAGTTATCAAAGATTATATACAGTATTTTATGCTTGGACAGTAATATAGATTAAAGAAAATTTTATTGAAGAATTTGACAAGTCCCTTAGAGGTCATATTAAAATAAACCATCTGACCTTTTCATCTATTTCTTTTCCATCTGCAGAAGTTTGTTTTCCTATCTTTTCTATTCAAAAGAAACATCACTCATTTTCTCAAATAAAAAAATCAAATTATGAGTAAATATTAAATCTTTGAATATCATAATTATGGAATTCAAGGAATTGTAGCGAAATAAGAATAAAAAAAACAAACAAATAGAAAGAATAGGCCTTGTAAATATATGATCGATCGGATTTATAACAATATACTGCATACATACAAAGAACGATGGATGTTTTAAGCATTTTCATTTGCAAAGACAAAGAAATAATAATTAATTTAATAGATCCACAATTTAAGGATCAACTTTTAAGAAGTCTTTCTTGCTAGGGGGAATTCAATCGGATACTTCCAAAAAAAAAACAATGTAATATTTATTTCTTCAGAATGTAACTTAAAGGGAAAGGTATGGAACAATTACTGTATGGGAAAGAAAAATAAATGAATTACATATTGATCAGCCTAACTACATATAAGCAGCATTTATGCGCAATTATTAGGTAAAAATAAACCGATCATTTTCTTTTTTTTTTTTACAATCCAACAATAAAGCCGAATGCCTATCAACCAAAACGAGCCTACAGTCATGAAGTCCGAGACGATCAAATTAACGGCCTTCCATGCAGATTGTCTTTCTTTGGGTTGTCTGAAAGTCCGTTTGACCTTTTATTTAACCAGCATATTTCTCGCGTAGAACGGAAAATTGATATATGGAATTTAACAATTCCAGGGCTTCAAACATTTCGAAGTTTATTTGAGAGGCCGAGAAGAACTATTATTACGAGTTCATGTCAATACTGATAAGAAAGTCGCGGAAAGTTACAATTCGTTATCGCTCGTCAAGTCTCAGTGAGTTCTTTGGATTTTGGCGTCGTTTTGAATTATAAATTAGTTGACTTAATCGACGATAAATTGAGATTTTTGTAGGAACAATGCGTTATTTTCACCAAAGACACAGAGAATGTGAGTATATCTTTTATTCTATGGTGAGAATTAAACTACTTTAGATCATCAAGTTTAATGGATTCCTCTTAACACCAGACTCAACAATGGGTTTGGTCATAAGAATGCGGAATTTTTACCGTTCAATCCCCTGGACAAAGAACTGGCAAAGGTAGGTTTTATCCGGGTATTTTTCTTCGGAACCAGATTTCGATCACAATAAAATCAATTTCATCTTTTATATTGGACATTGGTAGGATGAGTCCAATCATGTTTTTCTGATAGCCGGGTATCCAAAATACAAGTGTCCTTACGTTTGGGTAATCATTTCTACAACACCGCAATTATATGGTTCCATGTTAGATAATCAACTTATTATAGTGTTGTTTTATCATAGTTGAGGTCAAATCATAAGCGATTAATTCAGCTTCGGGATGACCAGAAATTGGAAACTGATAGTCCCCTAAAACTAGACACCATAGCAGCTTGGAAAAATCAAGGTAAGAGGAAATTTTCAAGTTTTCTTCGTGTTACTGATTAACCGACGTCATGCATCGTCATATTTTATTTGTACCCACTTCGAAAAGATGTAAAGCTTTGGGACATAATTGCGGAGGTGATGACTTTAAGCCTCACACCACAGGCACCGGAGAACCCGTTTGAAGTTGATCACTCGTATTACGACACATTACCACTGGAGGAAAGCATAGTTCGAACAGGAGCGATGGTTCATTTTCTTCAAAATGCTTATTTAAGGGACACATCGTATGCCGACAAAAGTAAGCAGGACAGGGAAAGAGGACAGATATATTTAATTGTGTTTCGTGGAAAAAAACGTGGATGCTAAGATTGGTCCCTTGATTTTTTGATCCATAGTATTTGAAGATATTAAGTTGTTACAACAAAGACACTTTACAGCGTTCGAAGAAATGAACGAGGCATTGAATTCAAGATCATTAGAGAGATCAAACCCATCATCAGGAGTATCAGCAAGTACAAGTTAAGTTTGGGATAAGTTCACAAAAAAAAAAAAAATCTGAACGGTTTTACATTTCCATAAATTTTTTTTTTTTTTTTTTTAATACCTAATTTCGTTGTAGCCGCCATTGACACCTAAAAATCATATTATCTACGCTGCAATTTTTTTATTAATGATATTTATTTAAAATAGTCAGGTATTTACCCTTCTTGTACACGATTAGACTTTTAATTTCAAATATCAATTCAGTTTTTCAGTCCATTCGAAATTCTTTGATAATTCTTCGTTCGACAAGAAAGAAAAAAGCATATGTTAATAAATAAAATAAAAGCAATTATGCATAATTCGTGCGGAGATAAAAAAAATACCCTTTCAACTAGACTAACGCCTCTTGAAAATAATAAATAATTTACTCATAATAAAGAAAAAAAAAAAAAAAAAAAAAAAGAATCAGGATTACTGTGGAATAAACCTAATAAAGATTCAATCAATCATCTTAAGAATCATTTCTGGTCCTGCATTGTTCATTTGAATTTATAATTCTTGTTTCCGCCAATTCAATTTCTACCACCACCTCCATCAACGTTGTTCTCCCTCGCACTAATCTGTCTTAGTTTATTATTCACCGTTTCAATCTTCCTTTGGTATTTTTCATTTGACTCTCGTATTTTTCTTTTCACTCGGTCCAATTCTTCGGGCTTAGAGTTCAATCGCATTCTCAATCGTGCCTCCTCTATCTTCAGACTGTTTGCTTCTTTTTTGGATTGTTCAATGAGCTTCTGTAGTTCCTTGCGCAATTCGGCGCTGGTCTTTGGTTTTATGAAAAAAGCGGATGGGCGACGTCGACCACGAGTTTCTGTTGGGGTTGACAAAGAAACGGGGTTCAATAAGACAATATTACGATCATAAAAGAAAATTTCCTTCGCCGAATTGCTTTTAAAACTTACGAGATGACTCTGGTGGTGTGTACGGAGGCGGTGGCAATTCGGGCACCAATTGTTCGAATTGATCTATCGTCATTTTTTTAATAGAGACCATCATCATCAGTCACATGCTTTTTCGGCATTTTCCTCTCATCACCAAAATCTTAATGATAACAAGTTACCTGTCTCATTAAATATGTAATTGCTTTCGGGATTTCCCGCTATTGTTGTAGGGTTTGTACTTGCAGATTCATTGTTAACATTATTACCATTATTATTCTCGTTTCTTTCATTAGCGGCACCCTCGCCATTCCTATTGTCACCATGACTTCTGTTGTTGCGATCAGATGAATTATTGCCAAAAACTGAAGAGTTAAACCCCCAACTTAAAGCTCTCCTGTGCCTTCGGGCTAAGGTCGCAGCATTCACGTGAGGTTGTCGTGGTGATGAGGGAGATTGTTGACCTTCATTGACATCATTCTCACCAACACTATCATTTCTATTAATTTCAAAAGAGACATGCTCTGAATTGGTGCATATCATTGAAGAAGGCCTGGTTGTGGCAAGAGATCTCCTGGGTGGTGGTGACTGTGCGACGTCGGATGAATCAATGGGTGTTACGTTCGGCGAATTGGTGATCGCTATTTGAACTGACGCTGATGGATGTTGATTTTCCGTTTCCGCGATTTCGGGTAGCCTTCTTGTTTCAGGTATTGTTTCAGATATTGACAAAGGTTGTAACTCCTCGCTAATGCTACGGATGTCATTGCTGATTGTGCTGACTTCAACATTATCGCTCGCAGTGGCAAACCTATTATTGGAAGGATGGGTGATCTCATTTCCGTGACTTATGTTGTTCGTTGATGTCGGAAAGAGGGAAAGCACGTTATTTGAACGTGATTTCCGTGGAGAAACAACGTTGAACAAAGTGGAGATAATATTGGATCCCGATGAAGGATCATTTGTATTATTATTGCTGCTCCTGATTCGGCGTGGTAGGGACGATGATGACTTATTCGAGCGGATGATTGGTGCAGGTGACGACGACGATATTGTCTCGTTCGAGTGAGTGATTGACATAGATGACGGTGGCGATGTTGTTCTGTTCGAGTGGGTGATTGATACAGACGATGATGATGATGATGATGATGATGCTTGTGTAGAATACGAATTTTGATGCGGGGGTAAAGAGAAATGCCGAGGTGGTGGTAAAGAAAGTTGCTGTGGAGAAGAACTTGGTGGAGAGGAACTTAATTGTTGGGGTGATAGGGGCGGTGAAAGGTATTGTTGTTGGGAAGGTGGTGGTGCTGGATTCGAAGATGTGGGTGGGCCCGCAACGAAAGATTCAAACAGTCTCCCTCTTAACATTGAATACTCCTCATCCGTGATCAATGATCTGTCGCGAGCATTGTTTAACTCCGTCAAACGATCAGTAAATGAAAAGTTCATCTCTGCTTTTGTTTGATTCACCAGAAGGGAGGAGAAAGAAAGAGTTCAGCCGAAAACTTTATAAGAGAATCTTTTGATGATATCGACAACGTCGTCGTTGATGATATGAAGAATTATTCTTTCCCTTAAAAAAAAAAAAAATTTCGTCAAAAATTGGTTTTCACTTTCTTTTTTTTTTTGTAAAAAAGAACAAACAAAAGAGAGATGTGGCTAAGCAAGAAGATATTTAGGTTTCATGTATGAATTTAACATAAAAAGAAATAATGAGCTCTGCAGAAAATTCAATGTTATTCGTAAAATGTACAGTATGTCGTGTAAGCTATTTTAATTACTTGGTGAGTGAAATATTTACAGGATGGATGGATAGAAACAAATAAACTTTTTATTTAACAAATTTATTTGATAGTGAATTGACGAAAGTTGGGTAAATATTCAAGACAATGTCGAATCTTATTTTTCTATTCGCCCTTTTTATATTACGTATTGCATATACAATATGCAAAACAATAATCCCAGTCGAAAATAATGCTCCGTATGACCAACGGATTTTCAGTATGCACCTTACCTGCGTCCTTATATGCATTGGAAAATTATTCATTGCTCGAAAGCATCCAGACGTTGCTTGTATTACATAATTATACTCAATGTATATGCGTGCGTACATAACCTTTCTATTGATTTCCTAGATTCCAAAACCAAAAGTTACCACAAAGAAACAAGAAAAAATACATTTAATTAATTGTGTCAAGTACGCGATTCCGAGAAATGTTAGATCGAAAAAGAAATTCGATCTTTACACGCATTTTAAGGGGCTCAATTACATCACGTGCTAGTCTATTTATGGTGTGGATCTTCGATGAGATGTTTCAGGAATATCTCGAAAAAAGAATTTTTTCGTGTGTGCATAACAGTATATAATTATATAATGTACAAAATGTACAGTGCATGAAAGGATTCTCGTGATCGACATGCGAAACGAGATGTAACAACGTTAAAGTTTCGCAATGACACCCCTAATCTCTCCTTGTTCTATTCTTCGATGTGTATGAATGTAATCACGAACATTGTGTGAACTACTTTATATACGAAGCGTACTAATTCAAAAATAACCTATATATTCGAAATCTATAAATGGCGGTTGGTGTCACAAAGGGATGGGTAAATAAATAATTTTAAAAAAATTTTTTTTAATCCTCCATCCATAGAATAATAATAATGTACCGATATGGAAGAGGTGCACACGCCCTTCCTTCCTAATCGTTAGTTCTAAATTTTTTTATACTAAATAATTAAAATAAATCACAATATACTGATCTGCGCCCTAAAAAGTTTCGACAGGAATGAGTCACAGATTCCAAAGTGCGACATACAGTAATCCTCTCCTTAACTTATGTTAAAGAAAAGGAAATAATTAATCTCTTTATTAGAACACGAATCTATCACGTGACCAATCATTGGAAGAAAAGAAATTTATGAATCGATGAAGTTGACGAAAAACGGGAAAAATCTTTTGCGGAGAATGGTTTCACAGGGTTGAGGTTTTGCGACAATAAAATTCGTGATGATAGGAAAAAGAACTTGAGAACGTTGCGGGGTAAGATTTCACAAAAGCGGAGTTCTATAAGAATAGGGTTTCACGATAGCACGGAAAGAAGGAAACTTTTGAGGGAGATAGGGACAGGGGCAAAGGAGTGAATGAAAAAGTTAGGAGATCATTTGATTAAGAGTGAATGAAAAGGTTGTCAATGAAAAGGTTACGTGGTCATTTGATTAAAAAGTTACGTGATTATTTTATTCAACTTTATCTTATTTCTCTTTCACGTGATCCAAAAATATTAGTTGTATGATGCATAAAAAAAGATTTATAATAGTACAGTAATATTTAGTTTTATTGATCAAAAAAAAAATTTTTTTTTTTTTATTTATTCAAAAGTAAACTTTTTTTACAAATACTTTTATGCTAATAAAGTCATATTACTTTTTTTAAAACAATTTGAAGATAACTTCAAGAATCATTTTTATTTTTTTCTTTCTTATTTATATTTTTTTTATCTATAATAAGAAAGTTTCAATAGATTTATTACAAGAATTGCATGAAGAAAGGCCTCTGGTCTGGTTACACAATTTATACCCGATTATCTCTTGAACTGGATAAGAAATAAAATCCTAGGACCTTGCTTTTAGAACTATGGTAATTATCTAAATATAACATAATCTTACCTATCCTGATAGTCTCCAGGAATTCCTACTCTCCTAGCTCAGGATATTTCAATCTGATGCTCTGCTTAATTGAAAGTCAATTAATAGAAACTAATCTGATATCACAGATAGTGACAAAGAAGATGACATGTCTCTTTCCAAGATCTAAGCAAATAATATCAAAGAGTATTAGAGAATATACAATTCTATTCAAGTATATATATAAAAGAACTAAATTGGTGATTATAACTATAAATATATATAGTTCATTATTAACTAGCCTTAGCAATACCATTGATGACTATGTATTAATCATCTGGCTTCTAGTTAGATATAATTATAGGTCCTTAAAGTCTAACATTATGTCTTATATTCAAAAGTTTTATAATTAAAGTGAATTATATCCCCTTTAGACTTTAGGTTATAGAATATAATTTTATAACTAAAAGTCAAATTTTTATAATCGAAAGTTAATTTATAACTAAAAGTCAATTTTTTATAACTAAAAGTCAATTTTATAATCTTAAGTCAATTTTTTATAATCAAAAGTCAATTTTATAATTGAAAATTAATTTGATATATGAAATTAAGAACATAAATGATTTGATAACCAAAAGTAAAAACATAATATACAAATTTTGATCAAAAGATTTATCTCAAAAAATTTCTAATTAATTTATTTATTTTTAGTAACATATAGTTGAACCAAAATATAATGACAACCAAATTTTTTGCTATAAAAATATTTTTTACTAATTATATTTATCGCAAATTTTTTTATTTAAAATATTAATATTTATCTTATATATCTTTAAATTATCAAGAAATTATCTTTTTTTTTATATAATTATTTAATATTTAGTTTGATTGTTTAAAATATAAAATATAAAAACAGTATATGAAAAAACTCGTTCTGTTGATCTTCTGACTATATATAAAAAAGATATTCACAAGAAGTCTTATATTTCTTTGTCAATAAAGTCTTTACACTTTTTTTTTTTTTTTTTTTTTAAAGTCCCACTGACAGGACAAATCTTTATTAAGAAATCAGTAGTACATTTTTAAATTATATGAGCAATTTATATAACCCTATTTAACTACCTATCCTAGCTAGATCTGCCAATTTTATCACATAGTGATACCATTTTTGTCAGTTGTCCTGCTCTGCCCGGAACTATTAGCATACCAAAGTTCTACTATGGACTTCTTTTTAATTGATCTTCAAGGGGCTGTGTTATGTGTTTCTTAGTGGGGTCTTGTTTACCGCTTGATGATCGTGGGTACCATAGATGATTCCTGCCATATTTGGATCCTCCGCAAGCTAGTTGAAACTTAGATGGCACAAATCTCCGATCATGTTCTTGACATTCAGGCGATTCAATGGAATCACGTAATTGGGTGGCATATAGCCTTCCATTGCCTCATTTTTAACCACTCTTACAAGTTGGCCTTATAGGGGTTTCTTTTGATTACTTCATAATGGATTGCTTCTCCCAATGGATTGGTTACCTTGGTGATTGTTTCCGAATTTCTTCTCCCAGGATCTGCCCCTGCAGGTTTCCCAACGTGACGTTAACGCTAACCACCAGTCTCCGCAATAGCTGTCCTCTTTTGGATAGTCATTGGTTTCACGATCATAGAGATCTCCCATTAATTATTATTACGGCCCATTATATTTTTAACAGATACAAATAACCAAAGTCTCCCTTATCTTCCAAAGGTATAGTTTTGACAAGAGGTGGATGTTCTTCCCATATCCGTTAAGAGGCTTAAGCTGATCGGCATTTTTCCTTGTCTTGTAATGGTAGGAGGATCTCAAGAGTAGTGGGGATCCTCGTCAATTATGATATTCTTCAACA